GGCGCGGACATGCAATTAGGTTTGAAAGCCATATTTTGACAAAAGCATGGGCTGTGCGAGGAGAACGAAATAGTTCCAATAAGAACGCACCGCTTGGCTGTAAAGTATAGCTTCAGTTAAAAATTCGGTGCTAACTTGCGCCATCCGGTCAGTGAGTAATTAATTTAATTAGAATTGTCACGTGCAATTGTAAACGTAGCACCTTTTGTGCACTAAAAGAACTTTCCTTCCGCCGCATTTTTGTAATTATTTTGGGGTTTCAATTACGAAGAGGTTCCGAACTTCCTTGAAATGGTAATTAACGCCCCACAATTTGCCCTGGCTTCACTTTACTATATAACTGTATTGCACAAGACTTAGCAGATTTGCAAAATAGAATTTTTTAAACTTAATTCGCTCTTCTTTTCCAAGTAGTAATGCGTTATCTCATAACTGCACTATCCTCAATTCCATGAACACAAAACAAAATTGTCTGCTCTCTGAACATGTCTAATTAAGAAGTTTCTGCTTTTCATTTGTGTTCTTTTATAGTACAGCACGCGAAACAAATAGTTTTTCCTCAGCCTTTAATAGCGTAGGTAATTCCTTGGATATCAACAAACGTTGGATTAGGCCCTGTTTGCCCCCCAGCTTACTGATCTGAAATGAACTCATTTTTAGTAAACAGCATTTTGTACACCTCACGTCAACTCAATGAACAAAATAAACAACCTCACATTTTGATCCTCACATTTCATCAGACATGCAGTCTACTGTACATTAGCTCACGTTTTTTCCCGGTCTCTTTCCCGTTTTAGTATTTCCGCTTCTCGGTGGGCGGCATGTCTGACGTTTCTGAGATCAAAGGCCACCGGAGGACCTACGTAGGCGCAATGCCCGGAAAGATTATCCAATGCCTGAAGAAGACCAAGACGGAGAATCCTCTGATCCTGATTGATGAGGTAGGCTGACCATGATGGTCCCACAGGAGTAGCGTTGGTAGTTGATAGTTCAGCCGACGCATCGGTAGCAGCAGCTGGTCTGTTGGCCTCTGTCACGGATATACACGGCTACTCACTTCGTCACAGTAGCAAGTGCGTATAGCACTCAGATTATCCAACGCATCATTAGCAGCTGGAGTATTGGTCTCTCAGCCACTATGGTTGACTAGATAATTACTTCATACGGCTTTTCGACGTCCCTTAAGAATCGTACCTACTCGCTGCCTGCCAACGACTGTCCCCCCGGTGCTCATATGGCTGTCGTTTACCAAATTCCTAGAGAACAACAAAAGACAAGCTAGGATGCTATGGACGAAATTTACTTGATGCGATCATAAGAAACGTGTATGAAAAAACAATGCAATAGGCATGACAACAGTCCTCCGTTTCACACTTGAACGCTCCCATTTTTCAATTTCGATCCTCCCAGAATCACGAGCATCGTCAAGTCAAGTCAAGTCAAATTCATTAAAGGAAATATAGGCAAACGCCTTTGAA